GCACTCTCCTGCTGAGCTATATAACCAACTTCCCCATCCTGGAAGGTGTCAAGTTCTTGCAGAAGTGAGTGCCACCTCACCTCCCTCCACAGTGGCTCCCTGACTTAACCACAACTTTCTGACTTCCTCCCTGTGTCTAGCTGACGTCTTTCCTGTCCCCCTTTTTGTTTGCTCAATTCTCATGTAACGGGGACTATGGGGGTCCAGCCCCTCGACAGCCCTCTCCCAGGGTCCAGGAAGAATCTACAACCAGTTGATAATCTAATCTTTGATGACAAGAAATGAATCTTCGTACAGGAAACTCTTTAGTCCGCACACTTTATTCTTCTGAGTTGGTTCTCTCTCTCTACACAGCTTCTTTTCTGCTCTCACACTTAGCTCCTTTCTTGTCTGATTCTCTCTACATCTTTCTGCTGTTCCCTCTAAGACTATCTTAATTCCTTCATCTAATTCTGCCCCATCTCAGTCGGTCTTTCTCATCTCATTCTTACCCACCTAGTTCTTCCCCATCTGGCTCTTCCTCATCTTCCATCCTGTTCCTCTAGTCCTCTCTTCTAGCCCTTCAACCTAGTTCTTCCCCATCTCAGTTCATTTGTATCCAGTTCTTCCCCATCTAGTTCTTCCATTCTCTTTTCTCTTTACCTGTCTGGTCCTCTCAAGTCTCTGAGGTTTACAATTATATACCCATGCAATAGCAATACTCTGGTTAAAGCAAGGTCACCAGGCTTGAATTCCCTCAGGGTCAAAAGGAGGGGCAATAAGATCCACACAAAAGAATAGTAATTGCCAGCCATCAGCTGCAACCCCAAAGGGAAGTGACTAATGAGGAATAGAATCAACTGAGGGCTAAATTTGGTTAATATCTGAGCAAGGGGGATTTTATGTGCTCAACTATATTCTTAGAAGTGATTGGTTAGAGTGTTGGGAGTCTATCAGTGATGAGTGAAAATAAAACTGCCTTATTTTCCTTTGGCCCCTTATCTGTCCACGCTATCTTGGCTACTGCTTTCTGGCAGGGTGGGGGGAGTGTACTCGGTGGCCTGGCAGCCTGAGTCAGCTTGATGTACCTGTAAGTAGAAACCCTTTAGCTCTGAGTTAATAGTTAAAGGTAGATCTAAAAGTAGAGATAAGACTTTGGAAAGGGAAAGGTTAAGCTTAATTAGCACATCTGCCAGGCCTTCACAAACAGATAGTCTGGATGCTTAAGTCTGTTCTTAGAGAGTACAAAGGTATCTCTGATAAGATACTTTCGTCCGTCCGGGGATGGTCCTGGCCGGATGCTGCTAATGACGATAATTACAGAAAGACCTGAAATTAGGGATCCTGGCTGCATTACTGCACAGAAGGTTATCTAAATATTCTTTTGGTAGAAGGGAAATGGTGCCCAATAAATGATGGAAAAGCCACAATAGCACATGAGAAACTCATAGCAAGAAATGGCTAAAAATCAAAAGCCAATATCACCAAGACTCCTTGAGCCCCAGCTTGACCTCTGGAAGGCCCTTGGCTTCTTCCAGGTATTATTAGCTTGTCATAGCAGCTGAAATCCTACTTCATATTATTGCGGCTTGCAGCACTCATGTTCCCTAACTTCTCCTTATTCAAGCCAACCTCAAGCCACTTTCTACAGCCCTGCTTCTTCAGTCAGTCCTGGGACTGAAAATCTTCCCTCGCCACAGCCGCAGTCACCCTGGAGACCAAGCAAGAGACAAGATGCCTAGCCGATGCCAGCATCCGGACGGTCATTTATTGCCGGAGCCACAGAGGGTATGAGGGGCTATCCCCTTCACCAATCACTCCACCTGTATTACAAAGTGCCAAAACGACAACATGCCATACACTGGAGTCCACGTCAGAAAGGTGGGATGCACAGGTATAAGTACCTCACTACCACCACAACACCAAATCCAAGGAGAGGCTGTGTCTTCATCTACCGCAGCTGGCCAGGCCACAGCCCTCTCTGTCCAGAGTCTCATTTCCTTAGTAGGTGTGGGGTGGGGGCGGAGGGCTTTTATCCTTCAAAAACAGAAACTCAGAACTGGCTCTCTGCTAGGGATTCTTTTTATTTTACTTGTTTGCTGGATTTTTTTTTTTTTAAACATTAGAGGTAGTGTTAAAAAGAGTAGAGAAAGACAGCAGACTGTCGCTCCTTTATTTGTTTGTTGGTTTAGAGACAGGGCTTCATGTCATCCAGGCTGGCCTCAAACTTGCTAAAATCCGACTTCCGTTGCCCAAGGGTTGGAACTGTAGTATTGCACCACCGCACACCGGTTTTGATTTTATGAGACAGGGTCTTGCTACGTAAGCAGGCTGGCCTTGATTTTACAAAGATTTGCCAGCCTCAGCCTCCTGAGTATTGAGATTACAGACATTTGTCACCACACCTCAATCTGTGTTCGGATTTCTCCTCCTCCTCCTCTTCCTTCTATGGGGTCTCAGACAGCTCAGGCTAGCCTTGAACTTGCTATTTAGGTAAGCATGATCTTGTGTGATCCTCTACCTCCCCAGTGCTGGGATTACAGGTGTGTACTATCACACTCAGTTTTTGTAGCGCTGGAGATTGGACCCGGGACCTAGTGTGTGCATGCTCTGCACGAATTCTACCAACAGAGCCAGCATCATAGCCCTGTGCCAACCTCTGACCTTCTCCTCTTGGCACTTACTGGATATCCTAGGAGGTGCGCTCCAGGGAGGGAGCCCTATGTCTACCTGGAAAATGCTGGCGCACAGTGTCAAGGATGAAGGGATGACTTGGCAAGGGACTGCTGAACTTTGCCCTAATGGAATTCAGGTGATATTACTGTCTGCTTCCTGTAGGGGAGGCGTAAAACCAGGGCCTAAGGTTGATATGTGTGGTTCCAACACATCTACTGTCCACCACCGGGTACGTCTACCCTGCACTATAGCCAGGCAGATTGACCTGTAGGGACAGTGCCATCAGGCTCTGGGCTTCTTAGCTGTCAGTGCCATGAGAACAGAGACAGAGGACACCAGGGTCTCTCTGCAGCCCACCAGATGCCTGCATCCTCCACAAGAAGCCAGGACTTCAGTCAGCCAGCCACACTGCCCCCTCGACATCTCTTGGGCCTGAGGTGGATACACAGCCTTCTTGCTAACCTCTAGGGGTTTCCTAGATCCTACCCAATCTTTCAGAGAAAGCTCTTTACCGAACTCTCCTCTGCTTACCTGATTTACGTTTCCTCCAGGCCCCTACAATGCTGGTCCCAGGCCTTATGATTGTCAATCATAAAAAGAGGGCCAGGGATGTAATTCAGCAAGTAAAAGCACTTTACCACACAAACTTGAAGACCTGAGCTAAGTCCCTGGAACCCACAGGAGAAGGAGAACCAACTCCGAAAGTTGTCCTCTGACCTCCATGCGCATTCACACTTATGCACACACATCATACACAACCACACACAATAATAAAAAATAAATATTAAGGACAGAACTATATCAAAGGATAGGCTTCCTAGCCTCTGGCTCACTGAGAAGCCTCCTCCATCCGGCCAACAGAAGGAGCCTCCTCCATCCGGCCAACAGAAGGAACCTCCTCTATCTGATTGCATTTGGCTTAGGGTGGAAAACAGCAAAGACTTCTTCATATCTTAATTTTCACTGTACTCTGAATGGTTGATATGTTCAGATGGCTCAAAATTTTAAAAATATAGGTATGTGTGCACACATATGTTCTCCCATGTCTGCCCAGGGTTAGGATGAGTATCAGTGGTCCCTTTCCTAACTGACCATGTCACAGAGCATGGTTAAGCAGGATGCCAACACAAACCACACCCCAGCTCCCAGAGATTCCTACTTGTTGGATATTGCTAAGAGTTTATAACTCAGAACTAGTTTATAACTCAGTTACTCAGTGGGTAACGATGCTTGCAGCCAAACCTAAGAGCCTGAGTTCAACCCCCAGCACCCACATGGTAGAGAGAGAACTGGTTCTTGAAATGACTTCTACATGTGTGCCATGGCGTATATGTATTTGTATATTCACATACACAAAATAAATAAAATTTAAACATTTTAAGCTCACAATTTAACATGCAAGAAGTTCTGCCTCAGACTCAAAGCCCACCGGAGTCTATTCCTTGGCTCAAATCCAAGCGTCTGGGAGATTCAGACAGCATGACCTCCAAGCAGTTTCTCACACACTGGGACCTTCCGAAAGTAACCATGGAATGGGAAAGCGATACTTTCCTCAGTTTGGCAATGGTTCTTCAGATTAAAACTAGGAACAAATGTAGAGCCAAATTTGGTTGGCAGTTGACAAATACTTTGCCTTTATAATCTAATAATGCACTAAATAAGCTAATTCTTAAAAAAAAAAAAAAAAAAAAAAAGCTGCTAGCTGGGAATGGCATTGAATGCCTGCAAATCCCAGCACCCGGGAGGTGGGAGGATTAGGTCAAGGCCAGTTTTCGATGTGTATCTAGTGTGAGGCCAGCCTGAGTTACGTGCTATCCTATCTTTAAAAATCTGAACTCCTGATCATCCTGCATCTGCCTCTCAAGTGCTAGGATAATGAGCATGTACCACCACAACAAGCTATAAAGCAAAATCTTATTTTAAAGTCACTGAGAGCCAGGCGTGGTAGCTCATGCCTTTAATTCCAGCACTTGGGAGGTAGAAGCAGGTGGATATCTGCGATTTCGAGGCCACCCTGGTCTACATACTGAGCTCCTGGCCAGCCAGGACTACACGGTGAGACTCTATCTCGACCCACTCCCCCATCCTCCCCCCCCCACACACACACAAATGAAGAGCATAATTACTTCAGTTTGGAAGGCCATCCCCTAAGCTCTGTGATGGCTAACAGACACCTTTGACTTCTTTTACTTTGCCCACCGGAGACCACAAGGTCATAATAGGAGAGAGAGAGAAGTGAGTAAGTGGGTGATCAATGACTCTTCACACTGCAGTTAATGAGGTGAGATAAGGACTCTGACACCCTCAAGACAGGCGGTCCGGGGACAAAGTGGTCACATTATGCATGGGGCAACAGAGGCCCCGAGGACAGTGGCTGTGGGCTTACATCACCAGCTGACCAGAGAGAACTTATCACTCCTGCTCTTTGACCGAGTTCTTTCGTTTGCGGATCTCCAGCAGCACGGGAGTGTGAGCCAGCCCTCTTCACAGCCCGGAGCTGGGAATGGTACCTTAGCACTCTGCGCTTATGAGGGACAAAGGCCACCATAAGCTCCCAGCAACCACAGAAATAACCTGCCCATGCACCTGAATTATGGAAAAAGAGAAGCTTGACGAGAAAGGTGGGTGGAGGCAGTTCCGAGAGCCACACTGCACAGCCCCAGCACCTGGCCAGCCAGGCTTTCTTTCCGTCTCTACCCACAAGTCCGCAGGCCCAGTGGGAGAGCCTTAGGCGGGTTTTGTTTGTCTCGAGCAAGGTCTCCAGTCGCCCAGGGGACCTCCTACTTGCTTTGTAGTTTAGGATGGCCTTAAACTTCTGATCTTCCTGCCTCCATCCCTCCCCCATCAGCCCAGGCACCGGGATTACAGGCACGTGCCACCAAGCCCTGCTGAACCTTTCATGACGTTCCTCTCAACACAAACAAAACTGCAGAGGTCAGAGAGTCCCAGTTTGAAAGTCTCCCAGTCACTCTACCCTTCTGCAGCTCCCACTTCCATTTTGTGACTTGAGCATCGTGGCCCGGGGTCCCGCCCAGCTCTAAACAGTGGCTTGGAGACTCACTGGGCCTTCATAGCCCTGCCTGTAAAATGGGACCAAATACTCCGGCGACCCCCCGCAGTGAGCCATGGCAATCTCCTGGCCTCCGGGGCAGAATGCCAAGGTGAATGAGCTCAGATGCAGCAGTGGCAGTGGGCAGAGCCTGCAAAGCCTAGACGGGCACTGCGTGTTGCTGCCAGACCGACCTCAGCGGGGCACCGGTTTGCTTCTTTATACTTGTCTGCCGGTCCTCCCACAGCCGGCTCTCTTCCTGTGCCCATTTTGCCGCGGAGGAAACTGAAAGTGCGGGGTAAAAAAAAAAAAAAAAATGACTTCCCCAGGGTGACAATGCGAAGGCAGAGCTAGCCTGGGATCTGCCTTGCACACGCCGCGGCCTCCCCTCTGCAGTCTCCCTCCTATCCGCCCCAGGCTGCCGAGCTCCGACCATCACAATGACCCAAGTTTCCCAGAAACAAACGCTGAAATTCCCGGCTGGCTGTTCTGCCTGCTTTCCGGGGCTGGGACGCCGTAGGATCCTGGGGTTCGCTAGAAGTACCTCCACTAGCACTGCGCTCTCCGCCTCCCAGCCCAGTGGGGGTTCCCGCATCCACGTGGTGCAGCCGCGGACTCTACGAGGCTCAAGGGGACAGCGCAGGGCTGGAGGGGACAGCGCCGAGCGAAGGGGCGTAACGCGCGGCAGGATGGCCAGTGCAGGATGGGAGGAGGCAAGGCGGAATCCCCGAGGGGACAAGGGTCTCCGCACCTGGGGAGAACCCGGGAACCCCCTACCTTTCCTGAAGGGCATCGCGCCGAGGACGCTGCGCGGGGGGGCTGGCCCGCGACACCTGGGCAGGCTGACGTCCAAGTGGCAGCCCCGAGGCTCGAGGCGGCCTGCGGGCGATGGGGCCGGCGAGGGAGGGGAAAGGGACATATTTGGTCACAGCCTGGCACGTCACAGTGCGGAGGAGGCCCCGCCGCGGAGCAGGAAGCGCGGGAGTCGCGTCACCCGTGCGCTCTGGGCGCCTGCGGGCGGCGGCCGGGACGCCAGGGTGGGCGACCGGGTCCCGCCCTGAGCCTAGAGCCCTGGAGGTGCCGCCTGCCGGTGCAGATGCCAAGTATGGAGGAAAACCACCTGGAAGGGGATGGAAATTAGCACATCCATCAGCTCCTTCGGGCTGTGTAAGGAAGGAAGGGACTTGGAGGAATTTTATCTTTTTTTGCCTTAATAAAGTTGAGGCGTTCAAATGCCTCGTTGACTTGTATAGACACTAAGTAGAGGCTGAGAGGAGCAGCCTAGACAAACTCATATTTAACAGTATTCGTACTAAGCTAGTTTAGCACCCTTCCTGCCCCAGTTTCCTGCCCCCAGCACCTACACCCAGAACACCCGATGAAAGTGTCCATCTTTAAGATCCACAGGAGTGAATGAATGGTTTGTTTCTCCAGAGTCTGAAACAGTTCCTCACCCACCACTTGATAATCTGTCAAGAGAAAGTGTCGCTTAGGGAAGGAGAAGGAGGAGGAGGAGGCAGCTTTATTCAGTACATTTTGCCTCTGGGAGGTCGACAGTAAGGCAAATGCCTTGATAGTTGGTCGATCCAAATGTCCCAAGGCAGGATCCTGTTTTTGGTTAATTAAGGCTTTCCTTACTAATCAAGCCTGGTATGGTGTCTTCAGGCTGGTAATTAATCCTAGTCCTTGAGGGCCAGAGGCAGGACTACTGCCTCTTCTAGGCCAACCTGGCCTACACAAGAAAACCTGGTAAAACAAACAAGGAAAAAAGAATAAAAAATTAATTCTCAGTTTGTAGTCAAAGCACATAGAAAGCTCTGGCTTGAGTCCAGTAGTTCAAAACCAGCCTGTGAGACACTCCATCTCAGAAAGTTAATTTCTGTCATAGGAAGCGGGATACTTTCTCTTTCCTTTTCTTTTCCTTTCCTTCCTCCCTCCCTTCCTTTTTCTGTTGTTGTTTGTTTGGGATAGGTTCTCCAGTATCTAGGCTGGCTTTGAACTCTCTAGTAGACCAGGCTTGGCCTTCAACTCTTGCTCCTCCTGTCTCATACTCCCAAGAGCATTCCTGGAATGCACCACCACGCCTTGCTGGAAAATGTCATTTTATGTTGCACTCTGAAGAAAGCAAGAGTCACCTGAACTCCTAGAATTTAAAACATCCATTCAAATGACAAGAGGCTGCCTCTCCAAGCAATGACCAGACCTGTCCAGGTGAGCTGAAAATTCCAACAGGCTGGGAGTGTGTGGGGGTGGAGTGAGTATGGGGGTGTCCTTCCCTTCTTCCCTTCTTCTTCTTCTTCTCATGAATCAAGGTCTTAGTCTGCTGTGTTTAACAGGTTCTCACCAAAACTCCACCCTTCATTTTGAAGAAAGAAAATGCCACACAGAGGAAGTAACCATCCTGAGGTGGAAACTCGCTGCCCTGCTAGGTAAGTGAGTCAGGGTCAAATTCTTAAACCAACGTACCTTCAAAGGGTCCTGTACTGTTTCTTTCCAACTAAATCTTTACAATGAAAGCTGTGCACGCCCAAAGGCTTTACCCCACCTGCCGCCTTTATGTCCCCAAAGTGTTCCTGCTGCCATTGTATGCTTTTGAACATCTGCTCCATCACCTCGAGTTAAGCACACACCCCAAATGTGTCCACCATCTTTACTTCTTGAACAATGACCTTAAACTGAGCATGTTCAAGACTGTAACCTATAACTGAGAACGCTCAGGAGTGTGCTTGCCCTGAAAGTGCCCTGGCCCTGAGGAGGCTGAGGCAGGAGGATGGTCAGAACCTCTGTCCCAAGTTCCCATGCTTCCATTCTTCCAGGAGGGCACTGCTTTGGAAATGACTCTTAAGTGTTCTTTATCTGCTGCTATAGAAATCTTTCTCAGTGGGTGGTGGGGCCGGCGGCGGTGCATGCCTTTAGTTCCAGCACTTGGGAGGCAGAGGCATGTGATCTCTGAGTTGGAGGCCAGTGTGGTCTACAGACAGATCAAGTTCCAGGACAGCCAGAGTTACACAGAAAAACCCTGTCTCGAAAAGCCAAAAAACAAAGGAAGGAAGGAAGGAAGGAGGGAGGGAGGGAGGGAGGGAGGGAAGGAGGGAAGGAAGGCCTTTCTCTCTCAGGCTGTTTTGATTTTTCTTAGCCTTTGTTTGTTAGTTTTTGCATTTGTGTCGTGGCCTAAAGGGTTCCACACCCTGTCTGGCTCCCCTAGTACAGTCTAGATTTCCCACGAAGAGCCTTGGGTTACCTTTGTTATAGCTAGAGAGAAATATTGAATTTTACTGAATATTAGAGCCAAATACTTGTTTTTGTTTTTGTTTTTCAAGACAGGGTTTCTCTGTGTAGCCCTGGCTATCCTGGAACCCATTCGGTAGATCAGACTGGCCTCAAACTCACAGCAGTACACCAACCAAAATCAGTCAGTATCTTATTCCTGTCTTAGAAGTAGATCTACTGGCCAGCAGCGGTGGCGCACACCTTTAATCCCAGCACTCGGGAGGCAGAGCCAGTCAGATCTCTGTGAATTCGAGGCCAGCCTAGTCTACAGAGCGAGATCCAGGACAGGCACCAAAACTACACAGAGAAACCCTGTCTCGAAAAACCAAAAAGAAAGAAAGAAAAAAGAAATGGATCTATTACTTACACTACAGGGCAGTCACTGACCATCTAGACCCGGGCCAGGTTCTCAATCTTCTAAAGAAAGACAACCATCTAGTAGGTAAATGTTATAAGACCAGGTACAGGTACCATCTGACTTTAAGCACATTGCCAGATACTTAACCTAAACATTCTCTAAACTTGTATGTGTTAGATGGCAGGGTATTTTTTTTTTTTTTGAGGATAGAGTTTCTAACATAAGATTGCTTGGAGCTAATAATTTAGACACGCTCCAGCCAAAGGGTCCTTCATGGTGTGTTGACAAGTGCAATTCCACAGCTAATGGTAAATATCAAGTACATCGATCTGACCAAATTTCTGTTCAGCTGAGGTAACAGACCTGACTTGGGCACCAGAATTAAGAAAAGGGAGGACATTAACTGTATAGGAAGACGTAGATACACTTTCTTGTGGTTCCTGTTCGTTCTGGAAAGAGGCAGATTTCCCTAGTGCCGTCAGAAGGAAACTGAATAAGGAAAAGGAAGTCCTTACTGCTCCAGGCACTAACGAACTGTGAAAGCACCAGCCGGACATGGCAAAGGCATCAGAGGGGAGACTTAAACGGATATGAGAAGACCCCCTCTCAACCATCATCTGGGGGACATTGAGGAAGAGGGGGTGGAAAGAATGTAAGAGTAGAGGATGGGGAAGAGCACTGTGAAATGCTGCCTTCAGGACACAACATGGCTGTGACACGCATAAACTCATAGTTACCTGCACACGACCGACCCAAGTACCAGCCAGAGTCCCAGCACAGCTGGGGGGATGAGATCATACTCAGGCCCCACTCCTTAATGAGGAGTTACCGGCAGCTGACAGTTCCTTGGGGAGGGAGACTCATTCTGTCCGGGGAAGTGTCACTGGGAGGATTCCTAGGCTCCAGGGGATAGTCCCACACCTGTGCACACACCGGCAGCATTGACTGGGTTATCAGGAAGAAGAAAAGGCGTGGGTGGGGAGGAGGACGTCTAGTGGGGATAAAAAGGGAGCCGGAGGCTGGAAATCACACTAGAAATGATCGTCTGTCGTTGTTCAAGAATAAAGGAAAGTGTACATTGTGAGAGACCCTGCCACTAAGCTTGCAGCTGGGACTGGAGAAAGTCTCCAGCGGCCTTTGCGTACACCTCGGCCCCTCTGTAAGTTTGCTACATCCTACATAGAAGATGATAGAATGAAGGCAAAAAGATCAAGGTCAGCTAGAAAGGTTGGCCTAAGCTGTTGTTAAATCTGCTTATAGTTCAACTTCTACAGAAAAGACACGCTGCACGGCCAGCTTCTCGGAGTGATAAAGATTTCACATTTAAAGAAGAACAGAGCAAAGCTCACACACGCAAACTGTTAGAGCGCATCAGCGAGCCACCTGTACCCGTTGCAAGAAGAGACGATGCAAGCCAAAGGCGTGCTGCCTGGAAAGAACTTGACACATGCTGTTTACAGTCCTGCCATCTGCCCCAGGAGAATTTAATATCTCTTCCATTTTATGGATTTTTTTTTCCAGGAGTAGAACAGGGGTGACCTACGACATGGAGACCTCAGTCATCCAGCAGAGCTGAAAGAGCCAACTGTACACGTAAGGCTACAATGGCCAAACTGTGTCAAAAGCTCATGATAATTGATTAACACTTCTATCTCCTGCTCTAGTTCGCAGCAGAGCTGCTCCCAAAGAGAAACTCAAGCTCGAGCCCTTTAAGATGCTGTATGGAAGGTCCTTCCCCAGGGAACACGTGCTAAAGCACAGGCTAATATGGAAACCGAGCCAGCGATAAAGCACACTTAACTTAGGACAGAGGTGGCTTCCGGGGTCAAGGCCTTGCTGCCAAGCCTACCGGCCCAAATTCAGCCCCAAGACCCACATTCCAGAAGGGGAAAGCAAATTCCCAAAAGCTGTCCTCTGACTTCCGCACACGTGCTATGGCACACTTGCCAGCACATATAGAAATAAATATGTGTAACTTCAGAAAACACGTTACATTCAATTCATTATGAACGTGCAAGGGGCTCCCTCCACTGCTAAGTAGTTTCAGAAGAATGACGTCTATCCTGAACCCCTCAAGAAGGAGGAGCGAGTCTTGACAATATGAGCTAAGCATGCCCAAATGTGCTCCTATGCGCCAGAATAACTTTTCAAATATCTGTGCTAGACCTTAAACTAAGAATGTCCAGAAATGCGTGTCCACGATCTTCCCTGGTTGAACTATGACCTTTGGGAGCATGCTCAGGAATGAGCCTCTCATGAAGTCCTTTCTTGAACATGTGCGCCCCTTGGATAAACCTCCACACTTGCTTTGCTCAAGGAGCCTGTTGCTCTAGGCAGCGATTCTTTTTCTGCTCTCACCTTTTTGTTCCTACTTGCTTGGCTTTAACCCACTGCATTCAGTTGTAGAACTTCCTCAACCAACAGCAAAGGGATCTCACCTGAGAACAGGTGATGAGCTCTCAGACCACTGTTGTTGGAAACGTGGATTCCAGTCTGTCTCAGGAGTAGGGAGCTGAGGTTTATGGGAAGAGATCCAGTGTCCGGGCCATGGGTGACAGCCTACTCCCTCTGACCTTTTCCCTGCTGTGATTGTGATGTGAAGTGGATGTGGACTTAGCCTCATGGACTTGGTTGTCACTGAAGACTTCATCAAAGGCCAATTGATCCAGATAAAGAGTATGTCAAGAGCCAGAAAGATGGCCCAGGGGATAAAGGGACCTGCTGCCAGCCCTGACTACCTAGGTTGGATCTCTGCCACTTGGTAGATGGAGAGAACTGACTTCCACAAGTTTTCCTCTGACCTCTACACACACACACACACACACACACACACCAAATGTTTTAAAAAAGAGTATAACAGATAGACTGTTTTAGAGTATCCACCAGAGAAGGCTACTTGGACAAGGGTTTAAGCCAATAGAAAGTCTTTATTAGCCTCCCAGCAACAACACTATTATTGTTCAGGATCCTATTGTAGCCCCAAGCCTTTCTCAGGGTGAGCTTTTAAGCACAAAAAAACATGTCCTGCATTGACATACTTCAGTTAACAAGAATAATTAGCGAGAGGTGGAATTACAGAAGTAAAAAAGGAAGGCTAGTACATTTAGAGACATTCCAAGAAGAATGGACTTTGATGGATAGGACTTTGCTTTTGTTTTGGCTGGTGGTGCTGTCTGTGTGCTGTGTTTTACAAACTGAATGGTACTTCTGTCATGGAAGTTTTGCTAAGGTCTGGGGCCTGTTGCACAGAATACACACGTCAGGTGTGTCATCCCAGTTATATCCCAGTAGTAGAGCCAGAACAGGTGTCTGCTGAGATGCACTATTCCTTCCTGTTGGCACCTCTACCCCAGTGAACTCATTCATTCACAGACTCCATCACTGACGGCCACACTGCAAGGCATACATACATATTGGGTCTTCATCCAAGTTCTCAGCCTAAAGCTTCAGGCTGATGAGTTCGTGTCTATGACAATGAAATGGCTGGGAACTGAGGCTCCAAGCTGGAAGCTGGGGGCTGGAAAGTCTAAGATATGATTAGGGGGTTGGTCCCCTCAGCCAAAGTCCCGGGACCAGTGGGGAGAGCAGAATTGATCATCCATGATGAATGATTTAATCAACTACGGCGGTACAAGAAAGCCTCCATTTAAATGCCTAGGGATGAAATTCCATTTGATTCCCCGTTGGTAAGCCCAGAGGACAGAGAAGCTCCTTGCATCCCCACACACTTAGCTGTCCTTATACATCTCCCAGTGGCCGCTCCTGACTCAAACCTTTCTTAATAAAAAGTTGTGATACTAAGTAAATGGCCATCTCCAGTTCTGAGTTATTCTAGAAAGTAAAAGAACCCTGAAATGAAGGCAGGAATTTAAGAAGAGTCAGGCATCCTGATTTTACAGCCAGTTTGGACAGAAGTGTGGATAAGCTAGGTACTCAACACTCTTCCTTCTTACATTTATTTTACTGGTGTTTGTGTGTATGTGTGTGGGCACACACATGCCACAGACATACGGAGGTCAGAGGACAGTTTGTGGGAGTTGGCTCTCTCCTTTTACCATATGGGGCCCAGGGATAAAATGTAAGTCATCAGGCCAGATGGTATGTGCCTTTACACACTGCCCCAAATAACTTCAAGTTCTTTTTTTTTTTCTTTCTTTTCTTTTTTTTCTTTTCTTTTTTTTCTTTTTTGGAACTGAGGATCGAACCCAGGGCCTTGCGCTTGCTAGGCAAGCGCTCTATCACTGAGCTAAATCCCCAACCCTTAAAGTTCTTTAAATTGTATTATTTCATGTACGTGGGTGTTTTGCCTGCATCTTGTCAGTACATCACCTTTTACAGTGCCTACACAGGCCAGAAGAGGGACATCAGCTACCCTGGGACTGAAGTTACCAAAGGTTGTGAGCTGCCGTGTAGATTCTAAGAATTGAACTCAGGTCTTCAGGAAGAGTAGCCAGTGCTCTCAACCTCTGAGCCATCTGTCAGCCACCCCTTTCCGTAATACTTTCTTGGGCCTTATGCTGAGCCTCTCAAACTGTGGCTTCCGTCAGAATGGGACAGGATCGTAGGATGACCATCTGGCGTCCGGAGAATTGGAGACTGAGTTGTTGGAGGGGAACCCACACACAATTAGTATTCGAAGGGTTATGAGTGAAAACAGGTCTGACTGACATATTCTGACCTCTCTTGTTGTTTAATTGGGAACAGAAGACAAAGAACACCACAGCTGGCTTTGTTCCATTCCATGTTCAAGTGACGACAGCACCCCCTGATTTCAGCTGTTGTTTAACAATCCTGGGAACATTTGTTCTCCTGCTACCAACTCGAATCGGCCAGTAAAGATGGTTGGCAGTGTTCTGGGTGCTTCTGGTGTGTCCTCGAAGAAAGCATCGAGACACCTGCTAGGAGGGGCTGGTGGGAAAACACCCAGTGATGACTGGGGATGGAGCTGTCTTGGTAAAGTGCTTGCCTTGTACACACAAACCCTGGGGTTAGATCTCTAGTGCATATAAAACAAACAAACAGGGGCTGGAGAGATGTCTCAGAGGTTAAGAGCACTGGCTGTTCTTCCAGAGGTCCTGAGTTCAATTCCCAGCAACCACATGGTGGCTCACAACCATCTGTAATGAGATCTGGTGCCCTCTTCTGGCCTGCAGGAATACATGCAGGCAGAACACTAAGTACATAATAAATAAATAAATCTTTAAAAACAAAGGATAATAATAATAATAATAATAATAATAATAATAATAATAATAATAATAATAAAACCCAAGCAGGGTGTCCAATGCCTGTAATCCCAGCACTCCATAGGCAGAAACAGAACAATAGTCAAGGTCATTCTTGGCTACACAGTGAGTTCAAGGCCAACCTAGTTATGTGAGACAGAGTCAGAAAGAGACAGCAGAAAGGAAGGAGAGAAGAGGAGAGAAAGGGAGGATGGGGAGTGGGGAGGGAGGGAAGGAGGGAGGAAGGGAAACCCCCGACAATGGGGTGGGCCAAGGAGGGGTGAGTTTGCTGAGCCATCCAGAGCTGAAGAACAAAGTTAGCATGGCCAGCACTGGAGGAAGGCAGCAGAGGTATGGAACACAGCCTGTGAGGATTTTCAGACACAGAGAATGGATCTGAAGCCATTTTTAATTGGGACAGTGTCCTCAGGCTTTGACAATATAGTATGAGTCAGAGAATGTAATTTCATCATTACCCACTAAACTTTCAACTGTGCTGCTGCCTCATTGGTCCTGTCTAATGTGTATCGATTAGAAGGCTCCTCAGGCCATCTTGGCTCACCACAGTGGTGTTTTAAAACTCTAACCTAATTGCCAGGGATCTGGAGGAGACACGGCCAGGCTCCAGACTTCCTCCACCTTTTCTTTGTCTATCACCACAGAATTGTCACCTTCGGTGAAATCATTGTGTGCCCTGAGGGCCATGATTTTTTGTTTTGTTTTGAGACATAGTCCAGGCTTCTCTAACCTGCTGTGTTGCAAGGACGACCTTCAGTTTCTGATTCTCCTGCCTCCACCTCTTGAACACTGGGATTACAGGCAAGTGCCACGACACCCTGTTTATTTGGTGTTAGGATCAATTTTGCACACACTAGAGCTAGGCAAGCACTCTACCAACTAAGTGACATCCCTAATCCTTCGTGGTTTTGTTTTTGGTGTTGTTTGTTTTGAGACAGGGCCTTACACCATGCAAACTGGGCTGGCTTCAAACTTGCAATCCTCCTTCACCAGCCTTCCAAGTGCTGGGATTACAGGGTCTCTCAATCTGGGTGGACATTTAAATTACTTCCCTAAAGTTAGCTGGATCACACACACACACACACACACACACACACACACACACACACACACACACACACACACACACACACACACCAAGTATCTGCATTCCTAGCCTTCCGGTGAGATTTTAGCTGATGACATTGCTGTTTTTAGGCCACACAGAGGACTGGAGGGAGACTCTTGATCACCTCTAAAGGGCATCCCTCGCTTGGGTGGGCTAATCCACACGACTGAGCACAGCCCTGAGATTTGTTTGGCCGAAACAGAAGAGCGTCTCACTTCCCTCACCCTTCTTCTTCTGTGCTGTCAGCCCGACGCCACCCCTGGAAGTTGTTTCTGGCCACCATGTGGTGTTCTGGTGGCCAGGGTCAGGGATTGAATTCATCCAGGGGTTTTACACTTTGACTTCTTCTAGAGAAAAATTTGCTCTACGGGACTCAGACTCCCCTCAACATTTTTTTTTCCCTTTTAGACAGAGTCTGTAGCCCAGGCTGGCCTCCAACTCATTTCTACCTCCTGCACTGAAGCTGACTTGATCTTCTCGCCTCTACCTTCCAAGTGCTGAGATTACAGACATGGGCAAGCTATACCAAGTTGATGAGGTGCTGGGGACGGAACCCAGAGCTTTATGCCTGCTAAGCAAACACTCCACCAGCTGAGCTATAATTCCCAGTCTACCCTCGCATCTCTCCA